CCCTCCCTCAAAAACATTTTCCCTTGTCCTGCAGTTATCTACCCTTTCAAAGAGTTGACTCCCCTCCTGTTTGTAGGCTCCCTTTAGGTACTGGAAGGCTGCAACGATCATCCCACAGCCTTCTTTTCTCCAGGCTGAACAAGCCCAGCTCCCTCAGCCTGTCTTCATAGGGGAGGTGCTCCAGTCCCCTGATCATTTTCGTGGCTCTCCTCTGGACCTTCAGCTGTCTGTTTTCTTGTACTGTGTCCAGGTCTGGAGCCACTAGTACTCCAGATGAGGCCTCACAAGAGCAGAGTAGAAGGGGACACCTCTCTGTCCCTGCTGGCCACCCTTCTCTTCTGATGGAGCCTAGGATGCCATTTGCTTTTGCATTGAGCTGCTGTGCTAAGACAATGGATTTGGGCAAGCAGAAATTTCATTGGGTTTAAATCAAAGATATTAATAATAAAAAGTAGTGGGGTGCTGTAAATATTAGGAACTTGAGATTTGGACAGTTGTGTAGATGGAACAGACCCTGACATGTTTTGGTTTGTCTACATGCAATTAAAGAGCTGTTGAATAGGTGAAATGAGTAAAATGCAGACAACACATGTGAAGTGGTGCACACCCAGACATACTTGGCCCTGTGGTTTAAAGCTAATCTGCCCGGGAGATCTATAGTAGTGACTGAGTGACAACAGGTGCAGCTCTTCTTACACTGCTGTGAACTCTGCTCACAGCTCTTTGATTCTTTTTAGCAAGCACTTGACGTGGGCAGCATGTCATACATTTTATACATTTCAAGTCTCAATGACTAGATGTCACATTTTTTTTCTCCTATTACCTGGGAGGTATTCCCCTAAGACAAATTACCCTCTTCTTTTCTTGTTTTCCCCCCAAAGTAGCCAGATAGAGCGGGTAGGCAGAGAAACTGGTATGACAGGTATAACAGTGATGTAAATGGAAGTAGTAATCTGGTTCCATTCAGAAGATCACATCTTAACATATATGACATTAGTTATAATGGAGCAGAGAATAATTGCACGTTATTGCTCTGTGATAATGTCTGCTGTATTTCAGGCTCTTGAATCACCCTAGTTCTGCTTAATATAAAGCCTGGATGGTAGGACTGTATGTGCTATGTCTTAACTTTTTGTCTGGAACATTTTTGTAAAAACAAAACTTTTTTTTTGTGAAAAAACCTCAAGACTGGGATGCATAATTTGCAAGGATGTTGGCAGCTTGGTCCAGATGTCAGTATGTGGAGAAGTTTGAACAGAACCTAAGCCTTGGGTTTCAGTTTAAATTCAAAATCTGTTTTAAATTTCAAGTTTGCGTAACAAAAGGAAAAATGTTTTGATGTTTTGACAGTTGCACTCCATTGTTTCAGGTCTCTTTCTTGCTTTTAGAACCTCATATAGCTTTCTCAGTTGTTGATTACTTGTGGCTTTAAGTAAATCTGTCCAACAGACTACAGAAAGTTACTTTATCCTACTGCATGGCATTCCTTTGGGGACCTAGCAATGCTTTATCGTAGCTTCTGCAGGGCTTAGCTTTGGTTACATTCCTCAGCAGGTGCAGTTGGTTCATTACCACAAAGTCTCTCTGCGTGTGACCCAGCTTGCAAGGGCATTTTTTCATTAAAGTGATCCGTATTTTGTGCTTAAACTCTTGCAGTACTAATGATTCCTGAAAAATCAATTACGTTCATTAGTTAGAATTAATCTCTAACCTGTTTGCATGAATGAAGCAGATGCTTTTCCTCTGGAATCAAGAGCAAAGCTTCTATTCACTTCAAGATGATCAAGATAAGAACGCTTGCCTTTTAAAGCTGGTAGCTGACTTGTCTTGCAGGCTAACTAGCACTGTACCCAGCATCTCAAATGGCAGATCATGTGTGAACACCTTATGAGGTCACTTTTCAGGGAGAAAACTTTGTTTTGTTGTTGCTATATTAATGGTAAGCCATCTTGATAACAGGACTTCTATATTAAGTACCCTAAGGTAGGAAGACGTCTAGAAGACCACTGCAATTACAGAATATGGACTGAAATGTATTTTGTTGTCGAAGATAGCAAGTATTAATCTTGGCAAAGAACAGACCAATGCGTAAAACTGTGGCAATTCTTAAATAAGTAATAATCAAATCATGATAAAGCTTTCTGTAAATTATTTTTAGATGCATTTTCATGCAGGTAGAAAGGACCATACAGTGTTTCCCATTTTTCTTTGAGTGTTTCTGATTTCCTTCTCTCCAAGTAGCAAAACAGTATGAGAAGAATTCTCAGAAAGGGAAGACAATGTGAGCATAGCCCATGTTTAACTACCTTTGAGTACCTGAGTTGCTTTGACTGTGAGTCTAGTTTGCCTGTATCTTTTTGCAGGTTAATGAGGGCAGATGGTTCCTTCCAGACAGCTCTTTGGGAGGTATCAGTGTATGCTCAACCACTGCACTTGGAACGTCATGTTTTTCTTATGAGGACATACTGAGATTCTGGTCATACAGGACATCAGCACATCCACAGCCAGTTCTCAGCAAGAGATGTGCAAGAGCTCAAAACTAGACAGTAAATAAAAGGAATTGTGTAATATGCCATGCTTAGCCAAATCTACTTTGTAATGAATGTGGCAGTGATTTTTTTTTTCCTGGGGCTCTTGGATGCAAATAGGATCCTATGGTTCTTTGTAGACTACAATTTGTTTTTTTTTTTTAAAGGAAGCAACCAAATCTCTAAACATAATCATATTCCTATTGAAAATATGGTTTTACATAACATAAAATTTTCCATGTAAAAGTGTTCTGCTTATTTCAGTGGGAATATTCTGAGTGAAACATCTTGTTCCAAGCAGAAAAGGGAAATTATTCGTATTTGGAATATGCTTGAAGAAAGAGTTTTCTAATTCATTGTCTGTCAGCCTAGCTAAATATGGCCTGTGCTTCTGAGGTGTTCTGCACCATGTCTTCTGAAGTCCTGTGCTGGATGAGGCAGCAAGGAAAGGATGGTTGCCTGGATTATTACCTATAAACTCAACACCTTTTGAACCCAGTGATTCCAATAGTAAAAATAAAAGGAGATTTAGCTTCTATCAATCTCTTTCTCAGGATCAGTTGCTGCAAGTCTGCTACTTGTGACCAAATAATTGAGGTAGCAGTGTGAGATAGGGGAAAAGGAGGAGTATGCTGCAGCAAACATTAGTACTTTTTCTGTTTAATGTCTGTCCTTCATCTCATAAAATGTAGTGATGTAAATGCTTTTGTTCCTCTGCTTCCTCTTTACTGACTAGTTTTTTTTGGATGCAGATTTTCCAAGTTACCATTTGAGCTATTGCTTCATTGTGGTGATACGCTGGAGGGGAGCTGGTGATAAAACAAATACGTATCTATGCCACTGTATCAAAAATGTGAAGAAACATAAAGAAACTATTCTGTCTGCGTGTACAGAGCTCTCCACGCTGTACAAATTGAGCAAACCTGTGTGTAATTATTAGGGCACCTTATCAGGCAAGCAGCAGGAACTTGGACCAACGCATCTACATTCTTCTGAACCATGTAGTAAAGTTAATTGTCATTGTGAGCATGTCAAGTAAATCCATTAACTGAGATTCTTGAGCTGTAATTTAAGAGAGCAGAATGCCCTTCTGCAATGTACTAATTTCTCTTAGATATTAAGAATCTGTATAAGACTGTGGATATACTTAGTGCAGGCCAGTCTGTCCCCTGTTCACAACGTTTCACTGAGCTGTATATATATATTGTTGCTCAGAGTGAGCTATATGGAAGAATTCGTCCCTGAAGGTGTAAAACCTGCTCCTCGGGGCCCAGAGAGCTGGCTAATTTCTCTTTGGAAAAGCACAGAGACTGAGAGGGATCGGCTCTATGAGCTTTGAAAGTGAGAAGCCGTGACATCTAGTTGTCATCCTTAGGGCTTTTTTTCAGGATGTGGCAGCTGTTCATAACATTGGTATAATTACAAAAATGCATATTCTGTTTTGATGATGATTTGTTATGATTTGGTGTTTGGGAAAACATAATGCACTATTGTTTCACTCTTTATGTGTACATTTTTTCCTAATGTCATGAAATGATCTTTCATTGAAATTCTGTGTCCTAATTTTTCCTTTCAGTAAGAGGTTTGAGCTGATATGGGGAAAATACCATTATTAATGTCTTTTAGTTTACTGACTTCCAAAGAATGATTAAATACTGATCTGAGATAGATCTTAGTGTTTGGACAGGCAATAGTCTATTAAAATGCTATGTCTTCTGGAACATATTTTTGGGGGAAATGGGATGTTAAGAGTATGGATCACTTTAGGAGAAATAAAATGTTTGTGATGCTGTACTGTCATGGTGAAGTTCATCATTCACCATTATCAGCAATGAGACCTGAATCAAAACCTTTAATGCTGCATTCATTTGCATCATGGCTAATGCTATTTCAACATTTCACTGAACTGTCATCAGCTTCTACTGAAATGCAGAGCTGATGATAGTGATACTTAAACACGTGCTGGACAGAAGCTCTGACAGTTCTGTGCAATTTACTTGAACACATTCACCTGACAAAGGCATTTTTATACCTGCAGGTAATGAGGCAGTGCCATTTTATTATCAGTGCATGCATCTTCTGCAAACTGTTAATTCAGCTTGCACGTAAGAAATAGGTTTTCTAAGAATATACTTCAAGCAAAACATTTCTACTTAGGTGCAGCCTGGAGAAGAAGCAACTTTTCCCTGAGCTGCTTGCTGAAGAGCTGTTATGTTCATGCATAGTAGCTGCATGGCCTGACTGACTGATTGATGCAATCAAGTGTCTAGACAAGGAGCAGTTACAGCAGGGAAGAATTTTAAACATAAGGTTTTTTGGCTTACACTCCAAATATTAACCAATTTAAATACATCAATTGTTAGCATTATGCTTGGAACTTTTGAGCAGTGATTAAAGAGAGTTTTGTGCAAACATTTTTAAAATGATCTGTGTTCATTCTCCTGATTTTGTGCGTGTGTCGTCTCCTTTCAGGTCCTTATGTACGCTAGTGTGCAAGTGGACATACACTTCAGATGGAGGTTGGGATGACAGTTTCTGGAAGATAATTGGCTTGGAAGATTTGGTGAAGGATAAATATGAAAAAATAGGTATGTTGAAGGAAAAAAATGCTTATAGCTGCTATTGTTAGCATGTTTGTAATCTATATCAATGTCTCTTAGAGTAATTTTCCAAAAATGGGCTTTTGCTTGCTAGTATCTTCATACTGTTTCTCCACTCTCTTTGAGCCTGAGTTTAATTAGAATGGTAGGCTTGCTAATAGCAATTCCTACAGCAGATATTCATTAAAAGTCCATAATGTTAATATACCAGAAAATTTCCAGGATAACTTTATTAGACTTTCCCTGTTAAGTTAATGGACTTTTAATGGATGTCCTAAGCAGACATGTCATTAACAAGAATATTACCAGACATGAATTAAAATATGCTCGTTCATCAAAGTTAATTATCTGAAATTTCCTTTGATTTTTTTAATGTCTAGTACTTTGAACAAGTTTGTGCAGTAGTTAAAATGCAGCAACATGAAATAGAAATGGCACAGGGAGGACTGTAGTGAAATGAAACATAATGAAATTATGAACTATTCTGATCATCACAAAATATACTATAAGCTATTTTCAGATATATCAGATAACTGTATCTGAAAGCTTCCTTGAATAGATTTCAGCATTTCCCCCTACCAATGAAAGTGCTTACTCAGAGGTATAAAACCTACTGAATATAAGGTTTTTAGCTTTCTGAGGTTTTGGTGACAAATGTTATAGGAATGGTATTCAAATGTGGCTTTTAACAAATCTTCTACTGGTTAAACTAAGACTTGCAGTAAATACATGTTTTTAACAGAAAATAGAACATCTCAGCAGCTGATGGTCTTGTGGAATAATATTTTTAAGATAAATTATTTACAGACTGTAAGTTAAGGCTTTAATACAATATTTATGCAATACACTTAAAAGGCAGCGGAAAACAATTTGCCTCTTTAAGTAACTCAACATACATGTTTCAAGTAACCATTAATAAAAAGGACCTTTTTGTTGTGATGGAGGCCTCATAAAGCTAATCTATTTATGGCTCAAAATTTGGCAATACAAAAATAATGAATTTGTAGTGTAAGGTTTATAATTTTTTCAGAACACAATATTTACAGAACAAATCAGTAAATTAGCTTCAGTTGACAGGTGCTTCTTGGAAAAAAAAAAATTCAGTTAACAGGAAAAGCATCTAGTTACTTGGATACTTGTACTGATTTTTAAACAAATAACCATTAGTCTAAACCCTGTCTTATAACTGTCTCTGTACTTGTGAAAAAGAGAGTTATAACATTGTTCCAGTGAAAATTTGGGGTTTTATTTGGTTTATTGAATGTTAGCTGTTACCTAACTTGCTGGGAACACTCTTAATGAGCTCAGCTTTCCTTTACTTAACTTAAATTAATGAAAGCAGTATAGGTCCATCTACCAGGAAAGTGCCATTCATTGACTGCAGCAGTACTGGTCAAACTGCAGCTGGAACAGTCTTGTATTATGGAAGACCCCTGGCAGCTCCAAAAGTGTCAGCAGTATTGGTGAGGCAGCAGCATCACATAGACCTCCTTTCAAGAGTCTACAAATGCTGCTCTAAGCACAACGAATAAGGGATCAAGCCTTTGACAACCTCAGTTGAGTCTGTATTTCTAATGTTGCTTCAGGGCAATGTCCCATGAAATGAACTACCTCAGCTCCCATTAACTTTAGCACGTTATACAAAATGAAAGCTATTTGTTTAAGTAACTCATATGGTCAGCAGTGTGTGCGCTTCAGGGAAGTCTATAATACTGTGCTATAATACTGTGCCTAACGGAACAGATTTCTAAGCAGTACATTTAGCTGGCTTACAGATTAAGGAACTCGAAATTGATAGATAACCTAGGTAGGAGTAGGTTGGTGGGAAACTGTACAAGGTCAAAAACTCCTCTTCAAATAAAAATATAAACAAGACCCTAATAAGTCTGAAGTAATTCTTATGGAATTTCCCTTTTTGTTCTCCTGTAGAGCTTGCCCAAGCCCACATACCTCAGCTCAAGGTTTGTTTAGCTCAAATACAAGGATGTATTTTAATGTCTGCCCGTTCCCATTGAAAAGAGTGATAGGGCAGATATGGGAGAAAAATATCTCTAAAAGATTAGAAGCACTAGGCTCTGAATCATAGTTTCTTTCTAAAGAAAGCAAAAATCACAAAATAAAATCAGCTGAATTTTCTTATTGTAACAATAATATTTAGTTTGCCAGTTGAAATGGCCAGAAATGTTGTTCATTCTTAAATCTGTAATTGAAGTCAGTGTTGTTTCCAATCAGAGGATGAATAATTATGACTGGAAGGTTTTTTGAAGTAACTTTAACTTTCATGACACTGAAAATATATATGGAAATTACCTGAGAGAAACTTATTTAATGTACTTATTTTTTTTTATTCTGATAAATGCGCTTTTCAACATCACTTTAAAAGGTCTTGCCCTTTAAAAATCTATTTACTGTAATCAGAGCAGTGCTTGTGGTTCCAGGTAGTAAGCTTCTTGTAGTTTCAGTTTAATTTAACGTATAACCTTGTTGATTAAGGATGACCCTCACTTCTGACCTTTAGCATCATCCACAGCCCTTTCCCACATCAAAGTGTGGGTTCACATATGAAAATTCCCAGGCCTTTGACATTTTACATTTCTCAGAGCAGAGTAACCTTTCAGGGAATCCACAGAACAAGTTGTCTGTGTACGTTGTGAGTGTACTGATCACTTTTGTGAAGGTAAAGATTTGTATCTGGAAATATTTCAAAATTTATTGATCTCATTAATTTGCCCACCAAGAGAGCAGAAGATGGCTTGTATTCAAAACCACTGTGAAAGCATTGTGTACTACAAGCATTAGCATTTATCTGTTGTGGTGAAAATGCATGACAAGTATCTCTTTGTGGTATTCTAAAACCTAGAAGGACATTAACAATTCCTTTAAAATTTCATGTGCTGTAGACCACTTAGGGTACTGAAGTGTATATTCCATTTGGAGGAAAAAGACTGAAATTTTCACCACAACTCTCTACTTCAGGGGCTACTTAAGGGACCAAATAATGATTTCTTATTGAATGGTAATATTTTATGCTAGGTCTCTTTTTGTTTGAAAATGGCTAAATTTACCTGGAAGAACACTGTGCGTACTGCCCAGTTCTATTTCTGTACGTTGTGTATTGAAGGCTGAGATGTTTCTCACAGCCCTGGCTCTTCGACATCTCTTGACCATAACCCCTCCCTTCATTCCAGGACATTGGAGCCTGGAATTTTGATGGTTTCATGTGCTTGTGTAGCCCATTTCTGAGTGTCCTGAAAAGTAAGACCTGTTGAACTGCATAAATATGTGAATGTTCATATCTAATGTTCTTTAATTTGTATCACTTATTCATAAATTAAAGAAAACCTTATACAGTTTAGGATTTTGACAAGATAGCTGTGACTCTTGATATGTTACCACAGAATCACAGAATTGTAGGGCCTGGAAAGGACCTCTAGAGATCGAGTCCAGCCTCAAAGCAGGCTTCCTACAGCAGGCAGGTTATCATTCTTACTGTGAGAAAGCTTTACAATATGCTGGATTTTCAGATGTAGGTAAGTGAAGCCTTTTGGTCTTTTAAGCATTCAAACAATTAAGAAAATTGCAAGCTTTTTATTCATGAACATTTTATTTGAACAATTATAGTGTTGCATATGCTATTATCTACTTCCATATACAAAACTAACAGAGATAATGTATACTCTGTTGTTTGCACTTAGCGTCCTCTTGCTTTTTTATTTTGTTAAAAGTGATCCATTCTAATACTTGTAAGTTCTATTAACTTATGTACATTTTAGAGTGAAAATGAAAAAAATCAGTGCAGGGTGGGAGAGTAGTGTGAATATTAACTTATACTGCAGCAATCTATTAGTTCAGCCAATTTTCTAACTTCTCTAAGACCTTTGATGCCAGGTCTTCCAAAGTTTATGAGGGATTTCCTTGAAGGCTAGAAGAGGCAGATGATGGTTTTTATTCAGGTCAACTCATAACTGCCAGTTCTTCACAAAACCGGATTGTAAGAATGAGCTTTAAACATCATGCTTTGCAAATAGTAGACAATGGTAAGTAAAACATTTCTCTTCTATATGGAGTCCTTTCATCTTTTTTGTCTTTTCTTATTCTCAATAAATTAAAACAGGTTACAATTTTGAACAAAGTTAAAACAATGAATCACAGGATATTTACACTTATCTGTGGAATTTACAAGTGAAGAGTGTTCCAGATGTATTAACTTCTCTGGCTTCCTGTCACTTCAAACCATCCAAGAGTTGCAGTAACTGTGAAGGAGGTGAAACTGGCACAGTGCAAAGCAGTTTTAGGGTTCCTCCTTCCTCAAAGCTTGAGGCATTTTTCATAATCTGTGATTCATCAGTAACAAGTTAAAAAGTATTTTTTCTTAGAGAAGTGACACTGACCTTTGTCTTCTACTTTTTTTTTTTTTAAAGTGTTGAGGTCACTGAATCACGTGAATGGTTGAGGTTAGAAAGCATCTCTGGATATCATGTAGTCAGAATCCACTGCTCAAAGCAGGGTCATCTGCAGGAGGTTGCTCAGAGCTGTATCTTCAGTTTTGAGTATTTCCAAGGGTGGTTACTCTAAAGTCAACCTTTTCCAGTGCGTTGGCCAGCCTTCCTCAATAAGAACGTTTATTCTTATGATTAAATGTATTTTCCTGTATTTCAGCTTGTGGATGTTGCTACTGTGTGCTACTGAAAAGAGTCTTGCCCTGTAACAGAAAAAAAATATGTTAAGTAGAAATCTATAAATAACACAAGCGATACAATTGTGTGCAATCCTAGTGAGATACTGTACCAAACCAGACTCTGATTCCTGCAGTTTTGAAAGTATAACAGTCACATCATCTACACTGATGATGCTTGTTGAGCTACAGTATCTAGAGACACAATTAGGAATAACATACTGGTAGTTTTCAGAAATACAAATGATTGGTGTATTGAAATTACTGATTGCAAGCAAGATGGAAGGTCAGGCAGCTGAATTTAATTGCAAAC